CTCTCTCTCTCTCTCTCTCTCTCTCTCTCTCTCTCTCTCTCTCTCTCTCTCTCTCTCTCTCGCTCTCTCTCTCTCTCTCTCTCTCTCTTTCTTTCTATATCTCTCATGGAAGATTCATTGCTGATCCCACCGAATGCCTTCATCAGGGATACCTGTACCACCGATAGGTCCGACCACCACGCCTGACGACATGCCGCAGGTTCTACCGAAGACCCTGACCACGCGTACCACCTCCTCCTGGACGAGGTTGAAGCACATGGCGATCAGGCCCATTCCCGCGAGGATATAAAGAGAACAGGCGCACAGGCTAAGCTCCTCCAGAGTCGTCGTCGGTGCGTTGCGCCCCACTGGCATCAGGTCTCCAAAGCCGATCGTACCGAGACTAGTGAAGCAAAAGTATCCGCCTTCTAACAAGCTCCAGCCCTCCAGACGATTGAACATGACCGCGCCGGCGCATATATACATCAACATTATCGCCAGACACAAGCTGATCGGTATTCTGACGGGATTGGCCTCCAGCATGTACGCCGGTGACGAAGTCGATGATAAGGATAGCGAGCACGGGTGAAAGTGTCGCTTGCCGTTGCCCGTTGTCATATCCTGAGCCCATGAATGAGAAAGACATTTAACGTGCGATAGATGTAACGTGCGTGGATTAAGTTAAAGTGAATTAAGTTAATTCTCATTCGGAAGCAGATTTACATGCTCAAATAAATGTAACTCTATAAGTTATATTTATATATGCGGCGCGTGTATGGGTATATGTTATCAAGTCGAGAAAGATGATAGTGTATTACTTTTTATTCAACTACAACCTTGGACGGCGATTTACCTGAAGCGCGGCGGTCGAGCTAGTTGTAGCGTGCAAGAGACCCTCGCTACCACAATCAAGCAGGATCGCACTACCGCCAGTACCGCGGATACCCAGATCGTCGCAGGAGCTTTCCCTGCTTGCCGAGTAGTAGTTACCGCCTCCCTTGGTTTCTACGTGATTGTCGTAACGATACGCCTTGGCCATTATGCCGCCGACCGGCGGCGGTGGCGGCGGCGGTTGCGGCTTTCGCGCGCAATTATGCGGCCGCCGGCACATGCGTCCATACAAACGACGGAAGCTTCGGGCGAGTACATCGCCCACTGTGCTCAGGTAGACCAACATCAGCGGGATTCCCGCCAAGGCGTAGACTATAGTGATCAATCGACCCCAGACTGTGCGTGGCGCTACACTACCATACCCTGTAAGTGAAACCGACCGCATACATTTCTGCATACATTTCTGCATACATTTTCTGCATTACATTTATGCATCGCGAGAGTAGGACTTGTACCTGCTTGATCTTCGAGGTACGAGTTAATAATGTAATAATATTTCGGCAAACGCGTGGCTTGTGCCAGATAACAGGCGCGTTCGTTAATTTAATAAATAATAAACGGAATAAACGTACCTATGGTCGTGATCAACGTCAGAGAATACAACAGACTACTGCTGAAAGTCCATCGTCGACCGTGGAGCCGCCTTTCCGCGGAATGCTCTCCGCGGGACCGCGGAGACAACGGTGGCATCTGCTCGTACGAGGTGCGTCTGAGACCGCGAGCCAAATTCTCTTGGAACTCGAGGACCTCTTGAGCCGCCAGGCGAGTCCAATTCTCTTTGTAAAGAACGTTAAGATCCTCGGTGATACTCCAGAGTTTCTCGACGGTGCGTGCTCTCAATTCTGTGGCAGCGGAATCGTTCTCCAGATTTGGCAGCACGTAAGAAGCCCCGTCGGGTTTCGAAGACGCAACCTCGGTAAGCGAATCCTATGAGAGGAAGAAACATATAGATATAATTATTTTATCTTTATTTATCTTTATAATCGTTATTATGTCTTATTCTTCGCGGCACAGGAATGATTCGAGAGATGATCACTTTAACGACAATTTCATTTCGGTTTCAAATCTTCTTGAAATAATTTTAGCAAACGATTTGAGCACTCGAATATCGATTAGCGGTTAAACGTAAAAATATTACATTTTCTATGTGTTTTCTATATGTACAACTGTGTACAACTATGTGCTATGTATTGAATTAACAATTCTAGTCTTTTCTTTTGTTTTCTAATTTAAAAATCAAATTTCTACAGCGAAACAAGCCAAGTAGTCAGCACAGTCAATGCTGACGATAAATGCCGATCACCTACAATTGATGGTAATTTAATTTTGCAAATTTTATCTCTATCTATTTCACGTAATTTGTTGCACATACGAATTCTAATCGTGAGTTAAATGCGGATTCGTTGAATGCGAACTTAAGCTTAATTTTGAATATTGGGAATTCGTCGAACAGAAATTCGGCGAGCAGGAAAAGGCTTAATCGTCGTCGATTCCGATCGCTCACCGGTTTGAGACCTCCCTCGAGGGCCATAAAGGCAAACGCGCCGAGCAGGGTGTAGCCGAGAACGAGCACGCACACGCCAAGACTGGCCAACAATCCCGGGGTCTTGGTTGAAGTGGCGGTGCTGCAGCTACAGCAACAGCAGAGCAGCTCCGCGCCTCGCACCGAACCGCCCGCAATGCCGGCCGCACTGTTGTTGTTATTGTTGCTGTTGTTGCTACTTCTACCCGGACAACATCTCGGTGCCCTTTGATAATAATCGCCGGCGTTCTGCATCGTGCGTTTCGCCGTCTTCCGATTAAATCGTCGTCGCCGTCGTTGTCGTCACCGCCGCCACCACCGCAGCTGCAGGTGCAGCGACCGATGACGCCGCAGCTGCAGCCGCAAGCGGTAACGTTCTAACGTCGTTCTACCGTTGCTGCCCTACGACCGCCACTGTCCGCCCGCATCCATCCGGTGCGGGGCTGCTTGACCTGCGTCATAATCGGTCGCGACGATACGGGATTAAATGTATGCCTAATCAGGATTTGACTTAGATTTACATTATTACTCTATATGTAATTAGAGTTACGGTATGTGAGTAGAGTTGCGGTTACCCATGCATAAAATACCTATGTTTTATCTTTTTACATTATCCCTAAACGGAATACGCATTGTCTCTGATACTTTTCGCTGATATTTTTACGATTATCGAGCTGCCTTTTTTCTGTGTGGGAGATATCTTGTATTTATTGCTTTACAGAAATACGGGAAAATAAAAGAAATAAAAATAAAAGAGAAGGAAAGTAAGATGAGCTTTAATGCAACTCGAGATCACAGTTATATTAGAGACAATGAGGGACATCAATGGCACATTTTATCACGCCCCGATCATCATTGTTTCAATCTGATGAGATTCTTGATCTCAGTACAAAATGGAAGTCTGAAATACGATACGATTAGATCGACGTCGACGGCTGTGTGACGCACGGAGATAAATGTGCTCCTTTCGAATAATCAGCTCAGAAAGGTCAATGACCCTCCTTAGCTTCTTCATTTCGCGCTCGTGCGAGGTGAGGAATGCTTATGTAACACGTATACGATTAACTCAATCGAGATCGTCGTCGTCTAAATATTTGTACGGTGAATACGACACGTTTATTATTTCTAACATAACCATAACATAACACTGGCAACTATTTATGACATAACATAAAGCACACGTAAGGTGTATCGTAACACATGAGACTAGAGGAATTTCTAAGTAAGGGAAGGAATCGAATTGATCTTTCCCCGAAAAAGAGGCCATTTTGACATCACTTTCCGGGCAATTTCTTTATTTTCATAATATCTTTGAGAATATCTTTGTATGTATACAATTAAACTAAAATAGCTTAAAATAGAATAAAATATTAGAGAAAAAACGCGAAATGTATAAAATTACTTTTCAGAATACAATTTTGTTTCGACCCATTTTTGTTTCGATAGCTTAGTCTACGAAACGACTTTTATTCCGTCGATGGCGCCGGGATCCGATGACGCGTGTCCCGTTCCGTCAGTCAGCTCCGTTACATCTGATAAAGCAATCGTCCTCGCGCACAGTCGGAACACGTGCAGAAATAGCCAGCCACACGATCGACCCTCGGTATACATTTGCCGCTCGTACTCACTTGTGTAGAAACGCGTACATCTGATGCACGCCACATATAATAGGCCGCACCGCGCCGGCAGAGACGAACGAAGGCGCAGACAGAGACGGAAAGAGAATTCGCTATCCTAGACCGCAATAGAAATTCCTGTAAATGACTGGGAAGCGGAGAGAATGGAAGACGGGAAAGAGGGTGAGAATGCATCCGGAAGGGAGCGAGGGAGAGAGGGAGAGAGGAAAGAGGAAAGAGGAAAGAGGAAAGATAAGGGTCAAGACGGAGAGAACGTAGCATGTACATAGATCGACGAGAAGTGCATCAGTTTCAAATGAGTACGTGTTAGATTTTCAAGGTACAAACAGCATCAACGATGAGCTATTTTCTTCGTTTTGAAAAGCGACTCGCCTTGGTAAAACGAAAAACGATCGCGATTGGATAAATAAATGTTGTATGCGCGAGTTGCATGTTCTCGATTTAAATATAAGGAATAGAATAGACTATTCCGAATCGTTATTTAATAATTCGTTATTTAATATTTAGCTGAAGAATACCATTTCTCATTCTATTCTCTAAGACGAGATTAAAAAGAAATCTACTCGTAAGACATGAATAGCATTCTGCCTGAATTTTTAAACTTCTATCTATCTTATTGTAATAAAAAGCATCGTAATATGTTCATATTTTTAAGCGTAAAGAGAAAAGAGATATGCATTTGCAAAAAAGTAAAGTGTAAGCACGCGCGCATGTGTGCGTGTGAGAGGGAGGAAGGAGAGAGAGGGGGGGGAAGAGAGAGAGAGAGAGAGAGAGAGAGAGAGAGAGAGAGAGAGAGAGAGAGAGAGAGAGAGAGAGAGAGAGAGAGAGTAAGAGAGAGAGAGAGAGAGAGAGAGAGAGAGAGTAGAGAGTAGAGTAGAGTAG